ACCAAACCTGTTGACCATGTTTAGGAAGGCAAAGAATTTAGAGTTTTGATTTTTGTACCAGTTAAGACTTTTACAGTTATAAATGATGGGAAACCTAACCTAACCTCTCTTAAGCAAAAAATGGCTTAAACTAGAAAGTCCAGCTGGGCACAGTGGCTCACATCTGTAATCCCAGCACTTTGGGAGGCCGAGGTGGGTGGATCACCTAAGGTCAGGAGTTCGCGACCAGCCTGGCCAACATGGTGAAAACCTGTCTCTACTAATAATACAAAAAAATTTAGCCGGGCATGGTGGCGCACACCTGTAATCCCAGCTACTCAGGAGACTGAGGTGGAGGTTGCAATGAGCTGAGATAGTGCCATCCCACTCCAGCCTGGGCGACGAACAAAACTCCAAAATATGTATATATATGTAATTAAAAGACCAAGAGTAGTTCTGACTTGAGACACAGCTGCATCAGGATAAATATCACATAACCAGGATTCTTTCTGATCATAGTGGTCCACCTTCTACTGACTCAGGTGTAGTGTGTAACGAGGTGGCCCTGCCAGTTTTAGCCACCACATCCTCTTAAGCATTAAACCTCTTTCCAGAATTTGCTAGCAAAAGTATTCCCGACAGGTCATGTATCCATTCCTAAATCAATCACTCAGCCAGGGAATATAATGTGCTAATTGACTTAGGCCTAGGTCCCACGTTCCGCCTTCAGGGTCAGCTTAGGTCAGCTTCACCAGAATCACGTGGACTGAGAGTTGGGAACAGAACAGTTCGTCAGAGAGAAATCTATGGGTGAGATGGCCAGCAGATGAATGACTGAATGAATGAAGCAAAAATAATAGATGTCCATTATAACCAGCCATGTATCCACCTGCTACAACTGATAGATTCTTAAGAAAAACCCTGTAACTGCCCTATGGTTGCCACCATCAAGCTAGACGAGGCAGCCATCCCCAAAACTGAAAAGTGGCTGTCCTTTGCAAAATTGCTCTACTAAATTGCATTATATCAGGATTCTCCCGAGAATCTAAGGTGTGGTCTTCCACAACTTGTTTTAACATACATAAACCTGTCTGGTTTGTTGGCTCGCACACAAATGATCACACAGGTATTCGCATAAGCAAAAGTGCTTACACAGCTTCAAAGATTTGGGTACAGAGTTGTGGAAAGATCCACTGGAAAGAATTTGGCAACCAGAGGAGCCTGTCTCTTTGACTTGAGGGACACACAATTCAATGAAGTTGGGTGAATTGGGGACAGCCTTCTTATAGGATAACTATATACTTTATAGTTCAAACTGGGACACTTTTGAGAATAAAAGGTGTTAACCAGATGGGACCTGGGGATAAGAGGCATAAACTGGAACTCTGCCAGGCAAACTGGGGCATACATCTAGGTGTGTGTGTGAACTTAGCCTAACAATGTTGATCTGAACATATTCAACATTAAGGTATGTATTTCATGCTCACAGAATACACATGAATACGTTCACCTCATTTATTCCCTTACAGAGTTCGGGGTCTGGGTATGCCCCAGAGTGTCTGTCATGGTTTATTATCAGAATGTGATTATCAGAATGCCATTTTTATAAAAAGATCCTTGTAAGAAATTGCCCCCCCCCCCTTTTTCATAAATTTGAGATGAAGTCCTGCTCTTATTGCCCAGGCTGGAGTGCCATGGTGTGATCTCAGCTCACCACAACCTCCGCCTCCCAGATTCAAGTGTTTCTCCTGCCTCAGCTTCTGAGTACCTGGGATTACAGGTGTTGAGCCACCACACCTGTCCAGAAACTCTTCTTAGTACCCAGAATAATTTTGTTGGAGTTGGGGTGTCACTTTATCACCCAGGCTGGAGTACAATGGTACAATCACAGCTTACTAGTCTCATCCTTCCAGGCTCAAGCCATCCTCCCACCTCAACCCTCCAAATACCTAGGACCACAGGCACATGCCACCATGGGGAATAATTGTTCTGTATCTGGATTTACTTTCATCTTAAGGACATTACGAATGGTATATCTGACCAGATTTCTCTATCTTCACTATTAGAAAACTTAAATGTGTGGCCTACATGAAGTAGGTGTGTATGTCATGGTGTGCACTTTAAGCCTCGTTCCAGACTCCACGTTGTATCCCTCGCCCTTGGGTTTCCTTCATGTAACTTTTCATTTACATGACCTTGTACCCTAGCTTTTCTTGTTAGTCACTTTAAGTCCCATAAATAAATGACATATACTCCCCAGCTCAACTGCCTTCAGAGGTGGGGTGGCCAGCCACCTCTTCAGTTAATTCCTTCAAGTTTTATAGAAGAATGTCAACTCTGCATGGATCAATCTCTAATTCAAACAAACCATCAGAGGAAAAGAAAATTAGACAACTGAATTTAAACATTGAATATTTATTTGATACTGTTTTTATTAAAGTTGCTTGGGTGTGATAGTGATAATGTGGTTACGTTTTCTAACACAGTTATCTTTTACATATTTATGTTGGAATATTACAGCAAAGTCCGCAATGGCCAAATCTGACAGTAGTTAGAGGAATATAATTTTCTCCCAAGGAGGGGTAACAAATATTTTGAACTACATAGGCTGCTAGTCTCACCACCCCCTCCCCTAGGAGTAGAGTCAGTAATCAGCATTTTAAAGACAAGCACCTAAGAACCCCAAGACTGATGCAGGTGGTCCTCAGATCTCACTTTGAAAAACTCTTCCCTATAAATGATACTTTCTGGACTCAACTCCAGAAAAAACTTGCTTACTCTGAGACTAAGCCATTTTCTTAGGAATCCATGTATCTCTTGCTCTTCTTTGTCTCACTCTGTTGCCCAGGCTGGAGTGCAGTGGCACATTCTCTGGCTTATAGCAACCTCCGCCTTCTGAGTTCAAGTGATTCTCCTTCTTCAGTCTCCCAAGTAGCTGGGACTATAGGCGCCTGCCACCATGCCTGGCTAATTTTTGTATTTTTAGTAGAGAGGGTTTTACCACATTGGTCAGGCTGGTCTTGAACTCTTGACCTCATGATCCGCCCATCTCAGCCTCCCAAAGTGCTGGGATTACAGGCGTGAGCCACAGTGCCTGGCCTCTTGCTCTTATTTCTAATTGTTGACTGCACTTTCAGAGACTAATGGTTTTGAGTGCTGCTCCACAGAAAAAAAAAAAAAAAAAAAAAAAATAAAGAATCTTGTTTAAATTTATTTGGCCCAGTTTCTCACACTAAACACAGAACCTTTCTTATGTAATCCTATTAACAGTTCCATAGAACACTGAGTTAAAATTCCAATCTAAATTAAAATACATTATCACAGGCTGAGTGCAATAGCTCATGCCTGTAATCCCAGCACTTTGAGAGGCTGAGGCAAGAGGATCACTTGAGCCCAGGAGTTTAAGACCAGCCTAGGCACCATAGTGAGACTCCACCTTTACAAAAAAATAGTGAGCTGTGATCACGCCACTGCACTACAGCCTGAGCAATAGAACAAGACTGTTTCAAAAACAAACAAAAAGAATTATCACAGATAAGACTTTGTACTTACGTTAATGAGGCTGTTGTAGTTTTCCATTCACCAATGCAGGAACTGCCATTTCTCAAGGTACACTGTCTCCTGCCTCCATACTCCACGTAGAGAAATAGTTGCAAAGCAGAGTACTGTACTTAGAATCTAGAAACCTGTGTTTAAATTCCTGTGCCACCATTTACAAGCCATGTCATATTGAATATGCTACTTAATCAGAGCCTCAGTTTCATCTGAAAATTGGAAATAACAGCTACCTAACCTACAAAGCTCTCTGCTACACTGCTGTGAAGAGCAAAGATAGCACATATGAAGTGACTAAAGTCTATAAAATGATTTCAAGTAATATGTTTACTCGAAGCTTTGCTCAGAGTTGTTTCTAAGCAGACATGGATCAATACCCTTACATTTGCCTTACAGCCACAGATTACAGCACCAACCCAGCAAATAACCTGGCCATCCTAAGGGAGTCCAGCCACACATGTGAGTGTAGGAGCACTCATGATCCAAGTGCATCAGCATTTTATATGGCAGATACCTTCCCCTATTGTAGATCTTTTTTGTTGTAGCCAACTCAGGAGAGGGAGGAAGCCATCATTTAACTCTCTTCCCTTTTGTCTGTCCATGAGAATGAGACAAAAACAGGATTCCACAGCCATACCAATCCTAATTAGCAGGGTGTAGAAACCAGTTACATTGCCTGCCACTGGACCAGGAAACTGGGATAATTGTCAGTGTCCTCTTTTGCTCCTACTCTAGGACATTAAATTGCTAAGTCACTGTCAGTACACCCATCTGATGAAATGAGGCCCATGGGGCTGCCAGGGTTAATACTGGGGATGGATACAGGAACATACGAAGGCCTCCTCTGGTAGACAAGCAGAGTACCAGAGTACCAAGGACCTATGGAAATAGCTCAGGCTTCTTCTTTGAGGAGAGAAAGAGCATGTGCAAAGGCCCGTTACTTCTGGCCAATTTCCTCACTCATAAAAGTAACATCAATATTCACGATGCTAAGAAAGGTTAAGTGGATATGTTTTCCCTTCTATATTTTGGATCATCTACTTCTTCCTCACCCTGACACTACTTTAAAAATCTTCAGATATAGATATCTATATCTGTTAGGTGCATTTATTTGTGACATACTCCCAGATTTAAAGAGAGAGTACCAGGCCGGGCGCGGTGGCTCAAGCCTGTAATCCCAGCACTTTGGGAGGCCAAGGCGGGTGGATCACGAGGTCAAGAGATCGAGACCATCCTGGTCAACATGGTGAAACCCCGTCTCTACTAAAAATACAAAAAATTAGCTGGGCATGGTGGCGCGTGCCTGTAATCCCAGCTACTCAGGAGGCTGAGGCAGGAGAATTGCCTGAACCCGGGAGGCGGAGGTTGCGGTGAGCCGAGATCGCGCCATTGCACTCCAGCCTGGGTAACAAGAGCGAAACTCCGTCTCAAAAAAAAAAAAAAAAAGAGAGAGTACCAGAGGTGGGGGAGGGAGTACAAAAAGCACAAGTTTATATTTATTTAATGCTAAGAACACAGATATTCTAAAGAGATAAACAGAAAGTAGTTTTGTTTTTCTAAATAGGATTTTGATCACAAAAACGCTGGTGATTCAAATATTTAAAACACAAGAGCATACAACCTAAGAAAAATGCAAAACATATTTCATCTCTCACCTGAATTAGAACACCTAAGCATTCTCCTTATGAGGCATTAATACAGTCACGTGTTGCCCAACAATGGAGATACATTCTGTGAAATTTGTTAGGCAATTTTGTCCTTGTGCAAACAGCACAGAGGGTACTTACAGAACCCGAGATGCCTGGACTATATGGTATAGCGTGTTGCTCCTGGGCTACAAACCTGTATATCATGTTATTGCACTGAATACTGTAGGCAACTGTAACATAATGGTATTTGTATCTAAACATAGAAAAGGTATAGTAAAAATATGGCACTATAATCTCATGGGACTGCCATCATGTACATGGTCTGTCATTGACCAAAACATCATTACGTAGTGCATGAGTGTACTAAAATTGTGAAAAAAAAAACAAACCTGTATCCATAGTGTTTAAACCATAAAACCAGTAACTGGTGTATACATGACAAAAACAAAGCATGTAAAATAATATACAGCCTATAGAATTCAAAGACAGCTTCAGGAGCAAATGCTATGTAGGAAAAAAAAAGAATTCAAAGACAGCAAGGGTAAGAAAGCCAGGTAAAAGAAAGGCAATTAGGGACATGAGATATTTTTCAAAGCAGGAAGCTGATGATGTCCACTGCGAGACTGGAGGAAACCAGGAGTCTGAACACGGAGCAGTTACTGATAGGAAGGATAAAGTGCTACATCTCTAACAGCAAGCATATTAACTCTGCTGAAATTGCCAGAATGAAAGCCAAGGTGGTTTTCCGTCAAGAATGTTCTCCTTGAGAGCACAGCCAGCATGCGGTTGAGCCGGGACCTGATACCAGCAAAGTGGAATTGCCGCTCTTTGTTCAAGTTTCTAAATGAGTCACTCAAGTACAATTCCAGGTGGGGGGTGCCCAGGTACTTGGGATAGACAGAATTGTGGAAGTCAGTGGCTCTGACAGAAGTGGGAGAGCCAGTGGAGCTTGCCACAGAGCCTTGGGAAGACACAGAGGAGGAAGACTTCAAACTGGAAGATCTTGATATAGACATTTTTGAGGCTGGTGACCCTTCTGCAGATTGAGTTCCTTGAGAAAAGAGAATGTTCTCATCCAAGTCAGTCTGAGTGGTGGCTGACGTGGACCAAAGCATGGTTTGAGAGCATGCTACCCTGGTGGCGACTGCGGTCTGGGTCCCAGCAAAGGCGGTGGCGATGCTGGTTTGTGTTCCCACCTCACTCACACTCAGCCCTGGCATCCCCTCTCCTGGCTCTGTTTGAGTGGCAGCATCAGTGGCCTGTTTGCTCTGGAGCTCATCCCTGTGGCTGTTGGAGTAGTCTTCCTCACTAACAGTGGAGGACTCACAATCATGGGGCTTGGGCTCTGCCTTGCCCTCTGCAGGCATCTCTGTGTCCAAGTCCGTCTTCCTGGGAGTACTTGAGAGCCTAGCCAGCCGCATCCGCAGCAGGTTGCCCAAGGTGAGCTCCTTGGACTGTGGTTTTCGGTCAGTGAGGTGACCAAATTTGTTGCTGCTCTGGAAGTGAGACAGGAGTTTGGGGCTGATGGGCTTGGATTGGGCATACAGGATTCGGAACTCCAGATCAAAGTGTTCAACCACTTGGCCAGACAGAATTACCAAGTTACTGCTATTTAATTTGCCATCCGTCCATGTAAAGCTTAAGGATTAAAAAGAAACAAACAGCAGCTGGTAAAGATGAGCAATTTTGGTTTACTCATTGTCCACCTGAGCAACATAGCACAGGTATCTTATCACATAGGAGTTACGACTTTGGTGATATACCTACCATTTGCATGCATTTGACTAATCTTAACAAACATATAAAACACATAAACATTTATGTATGTTAGCATAAAAGTAAAAAGGCCAACTGTTTAACAAACACACTAAATGCTCAGCCTCAGGTTTTTTTTTTTTTTTTTTTTGAGACGGGATCTTCTATGTTGCTCAGGCTGGTCTTGAACTCCTAGGCTCAAGCAATCCTCCCACCTCAGCCTTCCAAAGGGCTAGGATTACAGGCATGAGCCACCTCACCTGGTCCCTTGCCTCAGAGTTTTTAAAAACTAGAAAGGAGGGCGGTCGCAGTGGCTCACGACTATAATCCCAGCACTTTGGGAGGCTGAGGCAGGCAGGTCCCTTAAAGACCAGCTTGGCCAACAAGGTGAAACCCCATCTCTACTAAAAACACACAAAAAATTAGCCAGGCGTGGTGGTGCATGCCTGTAATCCTAGCTGCTCGGGAGGCTGAGGTGGGAGGATTGGTTGAACCTGGGAGGCAGAGGTTGCAGTGAGCTGAGATTGCGCCACTGCACACTCCAGCCTGGGTCACAGAGCGAGACCCTGTCTCAATAAATAAATAAATAAAATAAAAATTAAAACTAGAAAGGGCTTCTAAGTATTTAGGCCAGTACCCCCATTTTAAAGGTAAGGAAACCAGCTAGGGATTATCACAGTGGGAAGCTACTGCCAGACCCCAGTCAGGCCCCAGGCCCTATGAACTGCTAGTGCCCTGCTCCTTGCTACTGTTTGAATGGCAACATTAGTGGCCTTCCTGCCCTCAAGCTCGTCCTTGTGACTGTTGATGTAGTCAACCTCACTAACAGTGGAGGACTCACAGTCATGGGGCAATGCTGCCATTTTCACAAAACACCGTGGCTCCAAACATGTTAGAGCTGATTAGTGGCCATGTGCCCTTGCCTGTCCAGTACCCTTCCCCATCTCCCTCCTCTGCTGGCAGAACTCACACCCACCTGTATGCTGGAAAGCTTTCATTACTGTACTCTCTCCAGCCACAACAGGGGCAGGTATATGGTCCAGACTGGCCAGACTATCCTATTGCCTTGGATGTAGAGATTCATTCAGGGTGGGCATGTGACCCCACCAGAGCCAAGTAATTTTTCAGAGATTTCTTTTTTCTTTGTCATATGGATTCTGACAGAAGGGATTGATAGCAATTTTGAGTGAACAAGTTTCACCCTTTAGGAGACAGCTACTAAAGGCCACGTAAGAAAGCCAAAATCTTTGACTTCAAAAGAAGAGCCTCTCTAAGAACAAAAATCAGCTTGAGAAAATCAGAACCAGGAGATAGTGTTCTGATCAGTGTGTGGCTCCTAGGTCAAGATGAACTGAAACCAACTTTACCTTTCTATGCTTCCTTCCAAGTTCTTCAAGTCAGTACATTTGAGAGTTAGCTTTCTGACACTTGCCATCACCTCACTAATGCTGATATTTGCACCAGAAGTAGGTTTCAAAAAGAGATTATAAAACACAGTCAACTCTGACTCCCGTAACCAAGAATCTGGCTATTGCAAAGTCCCCCTGGAAACTGCTTTCAACACCTGAGAATGAAGATGCTTTTGAAAGCCTTCAATGATCCCGGGCGTGGTGGCTCACACCTGTAACCCCAGCACTTTGGGAAGCCAAGGCCAGCAGATCACCTGAAGTCAGGAGTTTGAGACCTTCCTGGTCAACATGGCAAAACACCATCTCTACTAAAAATAGAAAAATTAGCCAGTCGTGGTGGCATGCCTGTAGTCCTAGCTACTCAGGAGGCTGAGGCACAAGAATCGCTTGAACCTGGGAGGTGGAGGTTACTTTGAGCTAAGATGGTGCCTCTGCACTCCAGCCTGAGCAACAGAGCAAGACTCCGTCTCACACAAACAAAAAAAGAAAACCTTCAATGAGATAATGTAAATAATGCACCTGTCCAACACTATTATAAAATGTCAACAAATGAAAGCTATCATTATCATCAATTTCATTTGGAGAGGGTAGTTTTTCTATTTTAGAACAGCCCAAAACTATTTGTAGCTAAGTTTTGTTAATATAGAGAAATCCTACTTACGTTAAAAAAATCAAATTTGGCCGGGCACGGTGGCTCAAGCCTGTAATCCCAGCACTTTGGGAGGCCGAGGCGGGTGGATCACGAGGTCGAGAGATCGAGACCATCCTGGTCAACACGGTGAAACCCCGTCTCTACTAAAAAATACAAAAAATTAGCTGGGCATGGTGGTGCGTGCCTGTAATCCCAGCTACTCAGGAGGCTGAGGCAGGAGAATTGCCTGAACCCAGGAGGCAGAGGTTGCGGTGAGCCGAGATCGCGCCATTGCACTCCAGCCTGGGTAACAAGAGCGAAACTCCATCTCAAAAAAAAAAAAAAAAAAAAAAAAAAAATCAAATTTTTTCCTTTTTTTTTTTTTAAATAAACTTCTTACAAAAGGAAATTCCAAGAAAAAGAGTTAAAATTTCTTTTCCCTCACAGCCTCTTTGGTGAAGAAAGTTCAAATTTTGTTCTGAGAATGAGGATATTGTTTGAAAAGAAAGGTGTCAAGATTTTCTTGATCTTAATGCCGCACCTTCAACAAGCCTTCACATTTCTACCTTTACCCAGGGCTGACATATAATTATCACTCGGGGTTGTGTGTCTCTTCAAAACTGAGGTTTTCTTTTTAAAATTGTACAGACACCCCTCATGCAAACCATTTGACAATCTACTGCAGAGGTGGCAAAACATAAACCATTGGAGCCACATACATAAAAATGGCACAAATTCTAGAGGTTAACGTAAACCACTCATTAACCCCACCCTCTCTTCAACCTCCCTGCTCTCTACCTTAAGATGCCATTGCTAACATGAGACTTTAAAGGTGGGTCAAAAACATAATCAGTATTTTCCAGACTAAAGCACTAAATTACAAGGCTTGAAGCAACGTAGAGGATTTGAGTCTAAAGCTGACAGCTCGGGCTCTGCCTTCAACACTAATGGAGATGCCTGCAACTGCTCCTACCTTCGAGTGAGCAGGGCAAGCTGGGTCCAGATCCCTATGGAACCAGGATTCAGACTGAGTGCTGCTGTTACCCCCCAGTTCGTCCACTGCAGACCTGGGCCAAGGCTTGAAATCTAGGACTTGCTGACTGTGTTGTCTCAAGATAAGTTCAACTTCTGTACTTTAACCTTATGGACTACAGGACAAGGGAAGTGACCCCCACCCAAACTGCCACTGACAGGAGGCTTTGATAACCAGCTCACACACACAGATGCACACGTATCAGAATGCGTGGCCATACAGGCTCTCACTGAGAGGAAAAGGCTTTTACCTTTTACATGACATTCTTCTTCTTCATACAAGATTAATAAGCCTTGTATGAGTTAGAAACTTACCTGTAGGAGCCTGTTGCCACACGGATGCCATCAATCAATGTGAACTTTTCATGAACCTTCCCAATAATTTTAGTTCCTGACCTTGCATAGTAGATATTTCCTGTGATAGTCCGAACTGTCATAAGCTGTTGGCCGAGGAGTGGGAGAAAAATAAATGAACAATTCAGCAATACTCATCTGGTGAGCTAATGATTAGGACAAAAAGGCTTAGTTTACAATTCCCAGACAAAATTATTGGCAGATGTGTGGCTTAGGGTTACCATTTAGTGACAATACAGGTGGTACACTAGCCAGACAGTTCTCAAGCCTCAAGTGATTTTGCTTCTACATTTGGTCCAACTTCTCATCTGCTCTTTTCTTATATTTACTTTTGAGACCCTCGGTTCATGTGTATGTGTGCGCTAAAAGAACACTCAACCTTTTTGGGATACTAAACAACAGAATCCAAGAAATGATTCTGAAGCAAAACGTGTGGGATCAAACCATCAAAGAAAACACACCAGTAATAAAGAACATTTTAGCAAAGTCTGAAAGAAGCTAAGCTGATCTTTCTCCTACTTGTTTGTTTAATGGCATCACATCAGAGTAACAGCCCATCCTCACTCACTGTCAACACCATAATAGGTATGGAGAATAAGAACATAGGATAGGCCTTCTCCAGTACAGGCCTGCTGAAGCAGAAACACTCCTATCACATGTGGCTTAATGAGCAATGTCACATCTCCTACAAATACACAATTACCAAAAAGGTGCACTGCTGGTGGTATGCTGGGGCAATATACTGCACATGTATGCATAATTATTCCTGTAAAATGACACATGTAAATATATAAACAATGGCATGCAAAACATAACAACAATCTGCATTCTCTGGAGCAGACCAGTGGCTCTATATTGTTAGAAACCTTAACACATTTAAATTTTATGTTTAAGATTCGTGTTTGACTCATTGATTCCAGAAATATAGAGAGTCCCTACTTTGTGCCAAGCCCTGAGACAACAGAGACAACAGAGACAACAGAAGGTAAGGCATGCTCCTTACCTTCAAGGACTAGAATAAGAGAGAGAAAACGAATCATTTAGAAAGTACAGTAACACATAACAGCATCCAGAGAAATGAAAATCTATATCCACACAAATACCCCTACACATGTTCACAGCAACTTTATTTATAATAGACAAAAACTGGAAACTACCCAAATGTCCTTCAGTGGCTGAATGGCATAAGATACCATACAATATTTAGCAATGAAAAGGAACAAACTGATTATAAATGCACAACTTGGATGAATTTCAAAAGCACTGTGATCGGGAGGAAAAAAAAGCCAATCTTGAAAGGTCATATACTGTATAATTCCATTTATATAATAGACTATAAATGACAAAATTATAGAAACAGAGAAAAAATTAGTGGTTGCTAGGGGTTAAAGATGGTGGGAGGAGGCACACAAAGGGGAGTAATTGGAATATAGAGGAGCAGAAGGAGAGACATCTTTGTGGTGATGGAAAGTTCTGTCTGGGTGTGCATGTGTGAGAAGATGGCACAAAACTGTATCCACACATTGTACCAATGTCAATTTCCAGGTTTTGACATTGTACCATAAGTTACATAAGATGTAACATTTGGGGAAACTGGGTGAAGGGTACATGAAACTTCTCTGTACCATCTTTGCAACTTCTATTAATCTATCAATATTCGAAATAAGTTAAAAATAAAACACAAAACAAAACTATGGCAAAACATAATACCACTTCTGTGGTCTTATCAAATGCGTAATCTCAATTTAACCTTGAGGAAACATCAGGCAAATTCTACAGAAAATTGGCTAGCTTTTTTTTTTTTTTTTTTTGAGGTGGAGTCTCACTCTTGCCCAGGCTGGAGTGCAGTGGTGCAATTTCAGTTCACTGCAACCTCCACGCCTCCCAGGTTCAAGCGATTCTCCTGCCTCAACCTCCTGAGTAGCTGGGACTAAGGCAACTGCCACAACGCCTGATTAATTTTTTTGTATTTTTAGTAGAGACAGGGTTTCACCACGTTAGCCAGGCTGGTCTCGAACTCCTGACATCAGGTGATCTGCCCACCTCAGCCTCCAAAGTGCTGGGATTACAGGTGGGAGCTACTGTGCCCAGCAGGCTACTATTCTTTAAAGGTGTCAACATCGGGCTGGCACAGTGGCTCACACCTGTAATCCCAGCATTTTCAGAGGCCGAGGTCAGCAGATCACGAGGTCAGGAGTTTGAGACCAGCCTAACCAATATGGTAAAACCCCGTCTCTACTAAAAACACAAAAATTAGCCAGGCATGATGGCACACGCCTGTAATCCCAGCTATTCTGGAGGCTGAGGCAGGAGAATCGCTTGAGGCCTGAGGCGGAGGTTGCAGTAAGCCGAGATTGTGCTACTACACTCCAGCCTGGGCAACAGAGCAAGCCTCCATCTAATAAAAAAAAAAAAAATGTCTAGACCCAGCCAGGCACAGTGGCAAATGTCTGTAGTTCCAGCTGCTTTGGAGACTAGTTGATGCAAGAAGATCAGTTGAGCCCAGGAGTTCAAGATCAGCCTAGGCAACATAGCAATACCTCATCTCTTAGAGAACGTAGTGCATATAAAAAAAAAAGGGGGGGGGGCGGCGTTTAAGACCCTAAAAGACAAATAAAGATGGAGAAACAGTTCCAGATTATATGACATGAAGAAGGAGACTTGACAACTAAATGTAAGGTGTGATCCTGGATTGGATTGGATCCTAGACCAGAAAAAGGGCATTAATGGAACGACCAGGAAATGTGTAAATCTGTAAATTAGATAGTATTGACATTAAGTTTATTTCCTGATTTTGTTATTTGTACTGAGGTAAGATGTTACCATGTGGAGAACTTAGGCAAAGAGTATTCAAGAATTTCTTTTTTTTTTTTTTTTTTTTTTTTTTTGAGACGGAGTTTCGCTCTCGTTACCCAGGCTGGAGTGCAATGGCGCGATCTCGGCTCATCGCAGCCTCCGCCTCCTGGGTTCAGGCAATTCTCCTGCCTCAGCCTCCTGAGTAGCTGGGATTACAGGCACGCACCACCATGCCCAGCTAATTTTTTATATTTTTGGTGGAGACGGGGTTTCACCATGTTGACCGGGATGGTCTCGATCTCTTGACCTCGTGATCCACCCGCCTCGGCCTCCCAAAGTGCTGGGATTACAGGCTTGAGCCACCGCGCCCGGCCTAAGAATTTCTTATATTATTTTGTAACATTTATAAATCTTATTTCAAAATGAAAATTAAAAAAACAACAACAACTCGGGAATGTCATAGAGGTACACCTGGACTTGGTGAGAGGAGAACTTCCTAGAGGAGGTGCTCATGCCTGAGTCAGTCTTAAAGGATCAACATAGAATAACGAGCATAAAAAATACCATTATGGGCAGATTTAGGCACGGTTTTGTATATCTTTCCCTTTGGCACGCATCTGAATATTGTACATGCCTCTGTGATTTCGGCCAAAGCACCTGTGAGTGTCTATACATCAATGTGTGACCAAGTTCCTACAGACAGCACAACCCAAGATTCTGAACCAGCTATAGAGGTAGGGCATGGGGAAATCAGCCCCCATACAGCAAGGACACAAGTTCACTAGCACAGACAGGCACAGGAAACAGAAGCAACCAGGCAAGACAGTGCTTCCGCAAGAAGGAAGTAAGACTACAAAAACTGGGGAGGCCAGAGAAATAGACCTCCTTAAACTGCCCTTGCAGAGAATCTGGACTCCTATGAAAGCAGCAACCAACAGTAGGTGACTGAACAGGTGCCTGCTGATAGATTTTTGCCTAGTAAATGAATCAGAGACAATCACTTGATCAAAGTTGTGGCCAGAACAATTCTGTAATTTCTCTGCTGCTAACACACAGCCTTAATGATAGAAAGAATGCCTTGAAATTAAACACTGACACCTTAAATTTCTTCACCTGGCTAGCTGATAATGCTCTTTTCCATGCCAAAGGGTATCTTCCTTGGGTCCGCCTCACTTTCTAACCATTTGCTGGGTTACATGGCTGTCTCATCTCAGTTGGTCTCTAAACCCCAATCCTGTCTCCATCGTGAGACAACCAGCAACAACTCTGTGAAAGAATTTGAACTTTGTAAACCAAATTGCTTGACCATTAGTCAGTTTTAGGACATTCTCATCAGTTTAAAAAGAAAGTGCTAAAATAAAGTACTCTTTAGCAATAACCCCATCCTTCCTTCCAACTTACCAGCCCTAGGCAACCACTCATGTATGTCTGTATAGATTTCCCTATTTTGATTTAACAGAATCGTATCATATGTGGTCTTTTGCAACTGGCTTCCTTTACTTAGCATGTTTGCAGGTTCATCCATGCTATGGCACGTATCAGCACTTCATTCCTTTTTATGGTCGAATAGTATGCTACTGTATGAATAGACAACATATCATTTATCCACTTATCAATTGATGGGCATTGGACTGTTTCCACTTTTTGGCTTTATGAATAGTGCTTCTATAAACACTCATACGAATTTTTGTGTAGGCCTATATTTTCATTTCTCTTGGGTAGACACCTACGAGTGGAATTGCCACGTAACAGGTACTGTTCATTTCTGTAAGACTGGGCAAATGACTTTGCTACTTCCTCAGTCCCTTCCTTGTAAACAGGGCTACCACGACGAACCACCTTGTAGATCGTGGAAACTTGGTCATATTCGTTGACTGTGGTGAAATTGAAACTAGTGTGCCACAAACCTTTTCCTGTTCAGGATGAACTTTCAGATCCATGCACATATCCAAAAATTGAGAGAGGAGAGCCTGGTCCAGAAGGATATACACAGCGACTCCCTTTTTCCTGCATATTTCTTGCAGGTCTCTGAAGATGTCGATGTCTGTGAACACATCCATTACCACTGCAATCACCTACAGGTGAAATGGAAGAGCACGCCGTCAGCTCACAAGACTTAGACAGCTCGCTGTCTGGACTCTGGACTCCACTCAGAGATGGGAAACGATCCCCATCCTAGTTACCCTTCCCTCCTGCTTTGGCAGATCAGTACTCCCCTCCCCATGGACTCTTTGCATTTCCAAACACACCCGGGCCCTGTATCCCACAAATCTTGACTTGGCCTAGCTAACACTCCCAAAATGATGCTGACAGGTTTCTCAAAAATACAGATCAATCCACTGCCTTGCTGTCTTATGAACCTGCTCCATTTACCTTCTATTCCTCCTTTAAACCTGTCTTACAGGCTCAATTCAGAGCAGCAAGCTGTCTGGATTCTGTGGGTAACACAGTCATCTTTGGCTTGTTGCTCTCCCCACCAGGCTTCAGTTTGCTGTCTGTTAAACAAGTAAATACAACCTTATATTCTCTCTGAGGGCTCTTCTGGGGGTAGTATTCTCCAAATCTATTTTCTTAATTATTGTCTGATTTTGAATCATAATCTCAGACTTTTTTTAAGGCCTGCCCCATTCACCACCAACTCATGACTTGAAAGCAGGCAAAACAGGCACATGGATTCTCCCATCTTCTGCCCCACTAACTCTGCACACCACTTTGTTAACATACCGTTCTTTCTACCAGCCAGGCCTGATCAACTGTCTGTTGGGCAGGTTTTGATCAAGTGGCTTCCACCACACCGGCCTCTCTTCAATAAAAGGTTCTTTCTGCAGTTCTTTGGTATCTGTCCACAGTGCAAGCCCACAGCAAGAAGAGGGAAATATTTCCCTTAAACTCAGAACAGGCCTTTCTTCTCCCCAACAACGTGGCTCCATTCACGCCTCCCAAATGATTTTCCACACTTAGCATCAGACTACAATTAAGAGCTAACTTTTAGCCATGCATTCTTGGACAAATTACAGCTGTTTCAAATGTCTGTTTCCTTAGCTGCAAAATAGGGTTGTATCCAGAACTAAATAACTATGTTACATAAGTGCAAGGTTTGTACCTTAAAGGATCCCTTAGTATCTGCTCATTTATTCACTTTACCAGTCCAGCGCTGGAGCCACCCAGACAGTTCAACACAGGGAGACACCGCCCAGTTTTCCTCGCTCTTTTAAAGACAGGCTGCTCCAGCCACAAAGCCTCTAATCACACCCTTTGCAGGCTTAAAACCAAGGTCCTCAGCAAACTCCTGGCAGGGGAGGGGGTGTCCAAACATCCAGGCTTAGAAACAAGTCCCAACAAACTGAGTCAGAAGTCAGGGGTGTTAACTAAGGAAGCCAAGGCTTGGGAGCTCTTCTGTAGTCTGGAGTGTAAGGGTTTCTCCCTCCTCCCCATTTCAACAGTAAAAACCTGTCTCTCAGAGTCACACTAACTCTTTTTCTGAAAGTTAGGATTATTTATTTATGGGTTTCACTCCTTCTACTGCAGCAAAGGCTCTTGAATAGGATTGATTCATTTCTGTGGTCCCACAGGACTTGGGACAGTATATGACAGTCATTACTTCTTAAGGATTTGGGAGATTAAAGAAGGAATGGAGACAAAAAGGTAATTTGGCCGTCTATCTCCAACATTCCAGGGCCTGGTATACTACGATGTGAGACCTTGAAACGCCAGTCATTGCTGTGATGGAGTTGAGAAGACCAGTTACTCTCCTGCTGCCTTTCCCTCCCCACCCCTTTTAATGATGCTCTAAGCTGTGGGCTATTCTTGGTAAGGAGCATGGCTGAAACCCACTGAACACAGTGACTTAAAAAATGAAAAGAGTTGCTGGGCGCAGTGGCTCACGCCTGTAATCCCAGCACTTTGGGAGGCCGAGGCAGGTGGATCACGAGGTCAAGAGATCGAGACCATCCTGGTCAACACGGTGAAACCCCGTCTCTACTAAAAATACAAAAAATTAGCTGGGCATGGTGGTGCGTGCCTATAATCCCAGCTACGCAGGAGGCTGAGTCAGGAGAATTGCCTGAACCCAGGAGGCGGAGGTTGCGGTGAGCCGAGATCGCGCCATTGCACTCCAGCCTGGGTAACAAGAGCGAAACTCTGTCTCAAAAAAAAAAAAAAAAAAAAAAAGAGAGAAGAGTTTTTTCTGCATTTGTGGCATCCTCAGAAGTTTACATCCTCCACTGGCTTTTACACATCCTATTTTGACAGTCCTATTCATCCTACTCATTCAGGTCATATGGCAGTGATTAAAGGCAAAAAAGTGCCCTCCCTCACTCCTTCCCTCCCTCCCTCAAAAAAAAAAAAAAAAAGAGGCAAAAAAGTCTGGGCATAAAACCCAGTTCTACCACCTACCAGCTGTGTGACGCTGGGCAAGTTGCTTAATCTCTCTGAGCCTCAGTTTCCTCCTCAGGAAGATGACAATTAATAGCATCTAGGTCAGAGGGCTGCTGTGAGGTTTAAGTGAAACAAAGCATGGAAAGGGCTTAGCATAGGGAGGGCAAGGCAGGAAGCAGGTGTTATTATGCAGCCAGTACCTCCTCAGAGCCCATTGTGGGCTGCACACTGCACTAGGCAGAAAGATGGCCATGAGGAATTGGACATAGACCCAACTTATCTCAAGGAGAAGACATAGAACTCGGAGAAGCAATATGATACATATAGCTTAAGCAATTAAACTAAGGGGGCCAGGTGCAGTGGCTCACACCTGTAATCCCAGAGCTTTGGGAGGCCGAGGCTGGTGGATCACCTGAGGTCAGGAGTTTGGTAGCAGCCTGGTCAACATGGTAAAAACCCGTCTCTACTAAAAATACAAAAAATTAGCTGAGCATGGTGGTGTGTACCTGTCATCCAGCTACTAGGAGGGCTGAGGTACGAGAATCACTTAACCTGGGAGGTGAGGGTGGCAGTGAGCTCAGATCACACCACTGTACTCCAGCGTGGGCAACAGAGAAAGACTCCATCTCAAAAAACAAAGTGTTTCCTCCAGTGGTGGACTACAGGCACGAAAGCCACTCAAATGCTTACCAGATAAGAGCAGGGAAGACTTCCTGGAGATGGCATTTGAGCTGAATCACAAGGACAAAATTTGGACAAGGGCATGGGAGAAGTGAAGGGAGAAGGCATTCCCGCAGGAAGCCACGTGATGACAGAGGAAGAGGAAGGGAATGACGGGGTATGTACCAGTCTGGCTGGAACGTACGGCATGCATGAGAGGGAGCCATGGACGTGACTGGAAAAGACGACTCAATGAGCAAGATCACAGAAGGCCCTGAATACCAACCCAAGAATCAGTTTCAAACGTCCCCACATTTTCTGTAGAAGAGTAATGAGTTCAAAGCGAAGAATCCAACAGGATGGAAGAAACTGATGCCAGAAGAGATTGGTATAGGTCAGAGATCTGGCCCCACCTCCTCCAACACAGGACCTGCAACACAGCAGTCACATGGACATTCTTTAGGTTAAGCAACTTCAATAAATGTTTAGGAGGACTAGAGACCAAATGAAGAAAAATCAGTGATACAGGTTTTGGTAAGAGGCGGGCAAGAAGCAATGAGGGTTGCAGAAGAGGGAAAGAGGCCATGGGAGAGCCGAGCAGTGGATGACACGGGCTGGGGAAGACAGGGAGAGGGATACTCAGATACAAGGAAACAGGAAACGCCAGACAAGAAGCAAGAGGGATGAGCTTCAAAATGGATTTTGAGGTGGCAGTTAAACCTTCAGAAAGAGGTTTGGAATACGCAGTTGTACAATGAGATTAGCACTCACAGGAGAAAGCTAAAGAGGAAAATGCACACACCTGCTTGCCTCTCTGATTTCCCACTCTTCTTTCAAATCTTCAGTGTGGACCCAATCGAGTCCTTGAGAACCCAGTCTAATGAGACAGGAGACAAGCCAGGGGTAACAGAGTATAATAGGCCAATGGACACGTACCCCCAGTGCTACTGGAACAGGTACCAGAAAAACCCAGCCCAGCTGCTGGGTTACAGACCTGCTGGAGGCAGGGGCATGGGCCAGGGGCCCACAGCACAAGGCACTGCCAAGCTGAATTTTGATTCGCCGCTTAACAAAACAATTGTGCAACAGCTTTGTTATATGGTGAGTAAATACCTAATTTGGTATTTGTTCCATTGTTTGTTTTTAAAGCCTTACCCTTTCCTGTGTGCGGGATTTGAACACTAGTCCCTAACTTCCTCAGGGTGTGTAGTTGATGGAGGTTCTTTTCTTCCCCTGACTCCCCCTATACCCAGCATCCCCTCCTTTCTTACTAAAGCAGGACTCTTAAAAGTATTTTGTCTTTTTTTTGGAGATGGAGTTTCACTCTGTCACCCAGGCTGGAGTGCAGTGGTGTGATCTCGGCTCACTGCAACGTCCTTCTCCCAAGTACAAGCAATTCTCTCACCTCAGCCTTCCAAGTAGCTGGGCCTATAGGTATATGCCATCACACCTGGCTAATTTTTATGGACATGGGATCTCACCATGTTGCCCAGGCTGGTCTCCAACTTCTGAGCTTAAGTGACCCACCTGCCTTGGCCTCCCAAAGTGCAGAGACTACAGGCATGAGCCTCCATGCCCACCCAAAGGTACTTGTCTTTTAAGGAGGAAAAGTCCACAGTCCTACTGTAGAAGCAATCAGTAGGAAGGTCTTCCTTCAAATCCCCATCCCCACCCCACTATTCTTCTACGTCCCAGCCCTCATGCAACCAAGCCCTGCGTAGCCGAAGTAGACCTGGGGCTAGACTGAAGGGACACACTTCACTGAGCTGAGCAATGACCTGGACTCATCCACTAACCAGCCAAGTCCTGCTTTCCAAGCCAGGATGCATCTCCTAGGTGTTGGGTGCTCATGCTACAGCCCGCTGGGCCCAGACATACACCTGGACTTGAATGCTAATATGGAAACTGGCCACCACTCCCACTCCCAGAGGCGTAATGTGGGAAGGACAAAGGCATGTCTGGAGGCAGGCACCCTTGCATATCAAGTGCCCACAGTCATGGCACTCTCCCAGCCTGTGCTGCATGAAGCCTCTCCACC